CCACACTTCAATTCAATAGGTCTACTTCATGTCATCTTCAGATATCAAGATCTAATTTTGAGTAAAAAGTCATGTAATTTTGAAGAACATTATAGGTCACTTTGAAGTTCAACACTTAGAATTTTTCTAAGTACAAAATATCCGTGTGTTTTTCACAAATTCAAATGGACATAACTTTATTCTCAATTATACAAATGGAGTCTTTCTTGGCATATTATAAATATTGTAACTTTGTCTTTAAAATGCTTCAAGAATTATGCCCTAAAGCCTCTTGAGTTGTGTGCACCATGGATTCAAAGTTGGTACCTTGGAGCTGAAGTTTCATTTACAGTCAGATTGCAAATTGATTAGTGTGACCTCTAAACACAATTTTTTTCATGCGTTTGATGTCTAAACATGATTAACTAAGTTTCCTGAAAGGTTTAGCACATCAAAACTCAAGGAATGGTTGAGTTTTGACAACTTGCAAGTCACATTTTGCTCATGATGCAGGTCCGCACAATTTCAACTCAAATTACATCATACACCCCTCCTCTTAATTCCATTCACTCACATATAAAAAGAGGACAATACCCCACTCATTTGATAAGATTTAGAGAGCCAAAGAACCTTTGTTGAACTTCCTTCGTAACTCTCAATTCTGCAACTTCGAATTTGGTTATAAAGCATCTTTCAATCCAATTTTTTGCTGATTCTTCATCCTTAAACTTCCTTGTGTTTAAACCGGATTTAAATTGAGAGTTGACACCCCTAGTTTTTATCTTTGGGAAGGGAATATAAAGGATAACCCTAATTTGGTCAGATATACTTAGTTGTTTGACTCGTTCTAGACGAAGGAATGTGTTCGTCACCCCTCATCTACCTTGCTCACAAGGATACTAGGATTTAGAATTACGGCTTAGGAAATAGGGTTTTAATTTTTTTATTAGGGGAACTTGCCACAATTTTAGTCGTATGCCTATGTATCCTCTTAGGAGGAATCAGAGTCCCAATTCGTAGTTAGTAGTTGGTTGGTGTTTTTTATGGATTACGAAGATATTTCGAGCTTTCCTTGAATCAAGTCTAGGTGTGTGAATAGAGGAATTGTTAGACAAAGTTCGCAGTCGATTTAAAGTATCTTCATAATCCTTTTTGAAAATTATCTTGGATTTAATTAAATTAGTAAGAAAAATAGATTTGATGTTGGTAAGTATTTTTTAACTGTATTAATATATAAAAGTCTTTTTAATGCATGACAAAAATGATTTTTAGTGCAATAAAAAAACATTTGAATGGAGTAGAAAAATAAATATTTGAATTTTGATAATGATAAAATAATTGCAGAATTTTATAAATATATTAAAATATAAAAATATTAAATATAATATAAAAATAAATAAAATATAAAAATAAAATAAAATAATTAAAAAATGTAGGGGGTGTATAATTGTACAAGGCAGTAAAAGTGGGGGTCTTGTTTAGCAAGGGTCCAAGTCCAGATGTTGGACTTGACCCATTAGTACGTAGGGGGTGCAATTTTGTAAGGTTGTAGTAAAAACACAAAAACATGGGGCGTGATTAGCAATGGGCCTGGCCCAAAATTTACAAACGTTTGGGGAGTCCGTTTGCACTCCATGCGGCAGGGCACATGGTCATTATGGTGGATGCGTGTTTCTAGAATGTTTGATGATGATCATGTGGACTTATAACAAGGGCGTATGATAAGGACGTGGGACCATGAGCATCAGATTATAGGGTATTATAAAAACATGCTTCTGGGCTGAAGGCCCATTTTTCTTCTTTTTCCTCTCTCTTCACAAAACAAAAAATGGTCGTTGGAGGCTTAGAGAGAGAAACTCTGACTTCTCTCTAGATTTTCGTCGCTGGAAATCGCCTCTGCCTTGGACGCCACCGGCGATAAATCACTTTCATCAGCGATTGCGTCAAGGCACCACAACCTTCAAACCCCACCTTCGTTTGGGTTCATATGAACCCTATGAACCCTAAGGGTTCATGATAAACCCCAACCTAACCCAAAACCCAGAAACCAAACAATCGTGATGAAATCTAACCTAACCCTGATGAACCCTAACCCTAAACAAGAACCCTAGTGAAGCCTAACCCTCAGAAACCCATAAATTCAAGATCAAACACCAATTGTCCCCAAATCCAGCAGCAATACCAATTAAAGTTAAGTTTGAGACTTACCTTCCTTACAGTGATTCTTCTTGTAATTTGATTTCCTCTTTATGATTCCCTTTCTCCTTCTTTATTTGCAGGTATGATGGTGCACGATGGCTTGATGCAGAGATCTAGGTTTCAGAAATTGAAACCCAGATCACAAGGATACAATTGACTTGTGGATTCTACTTCTGTTATAGGGGAATACTAACTTAGTTATTAGGGGGATACTTCTTTTATCTCATTTTACTTCATCTAAGTAAAGTTCGTTGCATTAACTACCCTAGGCTTCGAACGATATCTCAATCCAAGTTATAATCTCAATTTATGGCTCTTTTGAGAACATATGACACAAACAATCAATATGGATATCATCACTCGACAAAGGTGCTTGCTCGCCCCGACGAAACTTCATCGCTTCTGCATCGCCCAGTGAAAGTGCGAGTGAAGCACTCCAGTAGAAATCCTCTTTTCTTCCCTTCATCACCTCCAAGCTCGCCTGGTGATGGCATAGAAAATCTTCATCGCCCGGTGACACCACCTCTGTCGCCCGGTGATTCACACCAGATGGCGACTTTCTGCTATAATCCTTGCACTATTCAATCCTAAGTCTTCTTAGGATTTCACGTCAAAGCAAACCCCAAACTCATCTAAACATAACAGTTTCACAACATCACAATAGTAAAACATAAAAAGCATCATGTACATAATTCCTCAGCATTATAACATCAATTTGGCACCAATTCCATCATGATCATCATGTTTATCATCAAAATAGCACATTCATAGTATAGCAACATATAATAAATAAATATTATATACACATAGGTATTGTAATCATGCATCAAAATACTCATATAATTCAATCATAATATAGTTCATCACACTATATTTCCAATGCTTTGAACGGTGCATCAAATGGACTCCTGAAACTCAAGTTATGGCATTTTAAAGAAAATTAGACAGTCATTCAATTCTGCCACCCGTCGCCCAGCACCACCATAGCGTCGCCTGGTGATGCGTCACTTTTGCGTCACCTTTGCATTGCACAGCGCTGCGTCGCAGACAACACTTATCCTCTTGCGATTTTCCACCATTTGAGGCCTTCTGAAACTCTGAATTCGATTATGTAAGAAGTCTCGGTTTCAGAATTCAAAATCCTATGATTATATAACATTCTTAACAACTTATAGAACTTATTTAAAGGTCATAATATCACACATTCATCAAAGATTCATTCATTCATTCATTCATTCATTCAACACATGGTTTTCATCAATCTTCATCAAAATCAACAACTAAACACAAACCTACCACTATCTAAACCTTAGATTAATTATAATAACAATGATAAACACCCCTTACCTTATAAATAGTTGCTAGCTTCTGAATCCTCTTCGCGATCTACCATTCCTCTTTGCCTCTTCGTGCCCTAACTTTTCTCCTCTCAGTGTCTATCTCTAATATTTCACGATTGTTCTAATGAAATAATTTCTCCTATTATTTGTTTAACAATAGGACACCTAATATTTTCCCATATTATCCTCACTTAACCTTTCACCAATTACCATCTTGCCTTCAATAATCCATGTGACATTACCAATTAGTCCTTCTTGTCTCTACACCATTATTCCTTATTTTATTAATAATAATAATTCTAATATTATTATTAAATCCAATAAATCTAAAATAATTATTTAAATTCTAAATAATTATAAACTAACCAAATACTCCTCATATATTATTATTTCAACACTACCCCACAATATACTATCACAAAACACCACAATGCATCATATAAATCACAATAATTCCCAAATAATCACAAATAACTAATTAAATAATTTATTATGATTTTTGGGGTATTATAATTGCAACACATAAACTATCCTCAACCACCTCAAGGTTCCAATGCACCCGCACTCTCCAAAGCAAATATTTAACCATTCCTCACAACAATCTAAAACAAGAATATAAGAGAAAATATAAAAAGTAAAATACAAACTTAAAGTGCTTTTGACTGGTACATCTTGTAAAGAAAAACTTTAATTCTACATATAGTCTTAGACTTTCTCTTCCTTAACAAAAATAAGCGATGTGAGACTTCTTCAACATGTATATTTTCAACCAACCCCAACAATATCCACCTTGATTGAAAATAATTAATTTTCATTGTCTTCACCGATAATCATACTCCACCATAAAGAGTATAGTCACTTGAAGCTACACCATTTCAAGAATTTTCACATTGTCTTCACTGAGAATCATAGTTTTAAAAACTATCATACTCCATCTAAAGAAGAGTATACTTCACTTGAAGCTAAACCACTTCAAGAATTTTCACATGCCGAAATCCAGGTTGAAACTTTATGGTGCAACTTCTATGTTGGTAGGAAGCTCTTCAACCATCGACATAATCTCACAACACACTTTGCATCAATGTCCATGTGCTAATCTGCTAGCAATAACATGTCCTTTTCCATGACAGCGGAATGTCACGAGGACACACTTCTCAATTTTCATATAATATTATCCTCTCCCACAATGAGAGAGACATTGCTAGCATTTGAATCAGCGCCCTTATCTGACGCAGCTCCATCAGGACACTAATACTTTATATGTCCAATCTTTCCATATTTCCACCATTTCACACCCTTTTCATTATTTTTCTTCACATAAGGCATTCCTCTAGAAACCAACACTGAGTTTGATGAAGTATTATCCTCACCTTTCGATCTTCTTTCTTCATAAATAATTTTATTAACAACTTCTTCAAAACTCAAAGTTTCCTCCCCATATATCAAAATTATTTTAATATGCTCATAGAAAGATGAAAAAGATCATATGGGTCTCAAAGCTTTATCTTCATCATCAATCTTGACTCCAATAGTTTCTAATTCGGAAACAATATCATTTAGAACACTTAGATGATAAGATACTTTTATATGTTCATCCATATGCATGCTATGAAACTGCTCCTTCAACAATAAATGATTTGATATACTCTTTCTTTTATATAGCCCTTCAAGTTTCTCCCAAAGTTCTTTGGCTGACGACGTACCAAGAACATTCACAAGAACACCCTTAGCCAAAGATATATAGATTGTACTCAAAGCTCTCAAATCTAGTTCTCCCTACTTCTCGTTGTTCATTTTGGAAACGTTTCCTTTCAGCGCCTTGTGTAATCCTAGTTGTATCAAAACATCTTGGACTTGAATTTTCCACAAACCAAAATTGATTCTTCCATCAAATTTCTCTAAATCAATCTTCACAGCACTTGAAAAACTTGACATTGTAAACCAAAACCTTTTCTGCAGCAAACCAAAATTTTCCCAACCAACACAGAGTATAAAATTTATTTTCTGATGTGGAAGATCAGACAAAGCTGCAACCACGGAGCATACTAAAATTTATACCCCAAGGTCAGACAAAACTGCAATCACGGAGTATGCTAAAATTTATTTCCCATCAAATCAAGGCTCTTAATACCCACTTGTTGGAGAATTTGAGAGACTCTGGAGCACCAACGAGACTAATGCTCCAGGACCACAAGAGAGACACCACATCTCAATCCAAAACCTTAAGGTATTAGGTAAATAAGTCATCTCTCTTATAAATCCAACATTTCATTCATTAATAGATAATGAGACTTTAACCACTCACACTTGCACTCAATATTTTCTCTTTGATCATTCCAAATTACATGAATTTCATTCTATGAATTAGTTTGTTTGATACAATTTTGACTAAGAGGACCATAGCATCCACAACAAGTAAAAATGATATACAATACTTCATATTGTATTTTGTACTAATGCTCATTAACCCAAATTTTATAAACTACCATAAAAGTGAGATTCACCTTTACAAAAACTGACTAATCTTTTTCACTCCACTCTCAGCATTTTATTATCCACTTTAATTGGCCTCCCAACTGCTAATGATATAGCAAGTAAAAAGCTCACGTCATAATAAACCATGTTTAGAATTGGGAAGCTAATCCAGACGATCGTTCTATCCACTTTCCCATTTGATGAAGCAAATTACGGTGTTCAATGGGAGACCCAAAGGTAGTGGTCGAATAACATCCACGCCCTTTCTAAAATAACCATTTATTTATCAGCGACTTGATCAAGCTAACCCATTATCATTGTTCATGATCTTGATTCCTCCTTACAGTTTCAAATTTCTAAGAAGTCACTCTTTCATAGTTATTGTATCCAATATTTTCTCCAACAGCTTAACAACAATATTGATTCATGAAATACACATTTCCATACAAACAACATTCTCCAAATGAACATTTAGTAAAAGTCTGCTTTCATTTATAAATTCTATTTAAACCTGCTTATTGGTGATCATATCATCTTTTTCTAGTACAAATTTTTTTTTGTCAATCCAATCAACTTAAGCGAAAGAAGATTTTTAATGTGGATGTCTTTTTGAGAAACATCAGCAAGTTTCATGTTATTAATCCACCTTCATAATATTTATTATTTTAAAGAGTTGTATTTATTCTTCAAATGTCAAATATCTCCATAAATAAATTACATACCTTTTTAATACACAAATAAGAGAGAGAGAGAGAGAGA